TGCCTGAGGGCTGCCCGCTTGCCATCAAACCCAAGGCAAACATTGGATAAGTGCCTACAAAGTGCAAGGGGCCGTAGAGAAAGACTCGCAGAGGTAAGGGGGCACTCCCACTCTTGCACCTGTTTGGGGAAGGCACTGGTAGACTTCTGGCTGGAGCCAGGTGAGGGTCCAGGCCCAGCTCTGCCTGTACTGGCTGGAGAGCCCTGCACAAGCTTCATAGCCTTTTGGGGCCTGTTTTCTCGTCTCTCACTCAGGGACGATACACTGACTTCAGGGACACTCTGTGTCGTCTCCCATCTTTTTTTTTTTACATCTTTATTGGAGTATAACTGCTTCACAATGGTGTGCTAGTCTCTGCCTTACAACAAGATGAGTCAGCCATACATACACATATATCCCCAATATCTCCTCCCTCTTGCGTCTCCCTCCCACCGTCCCTATCCCACCCCTCTAGGTGGTCACAAAGCACCGAGCTGATGTCCCTGTGCTATGCGGCTGCTTCCCACTAGCTATTTTACATTTGGTAGTGTATGTATGTCCATGCCACTCTCTCACTTCACCCCAGCTTCCCCTTCCCCTTCCCCCATCTCCCATCTTCACATGGACCCTAGCATCATGCCCGGTCGTTGATAAACCGTTGTTAGTTTTCTAACAACATTCTTCTAGGCTGTGTTGATATGCCCGAGTCTATTCCACGGGCCCAGTGTGAGGCCAGCCCTATTCATGAGCCTTGGGTCGGATTTTGGGCAGCCTCCCCTTAAAATGTCTATCAGGCAGAGTGGACCCCTAAACTCCTAGAGAAAAGTCCTCCCTGAAGCACTGAGCTCCAGGACCTGAAAGAAGCTGTTACAGGCCACGTTAAACTACCGGCCAGCTGTGTGAGCACTGGTAAGCACTTCACCTCTCTGGGGTTCCAGGCTTTTTCAGCTATGAGAGGGTTGGTGACATGATGTCGAGGTCCCTTCCAGCTCTGGCCTCCCTGGATTGTCTTCCGGACACACCACTGTAGAAGTCTACACCAGTTTGCCTTTCTCCTAGGCTATCACAGAACTTGAATAAACCCGACAATCAACCTATTTCCTCCTGAGTTTACGTATGGAAGGTATTCAGGACCCTAGAAATTTTGTGGTCCAGACTGCACATTCTGAGATAGAGCTATTCCCTGATGTATCAGGGCCTCTGACGACTAAGATTCCTGAAGCCAGGCAATTTTCAGCAGTATGCTTTGGTCTCAGCACGGTCCCAACGCCTTTCTGGTCTCCTGGGGCTCAGGGCACTCCATTTGTTTCATTCCAGGGCAGTGGGTAACAAAGTTTGACTCCAGAAAGACTTCCCTAGATGATTTCCACTTGGATGAGGAGAGGACCGTGAAAGTCCCCATGATGTCAGACCCTAAGGCCATTTTACGCTACGGCTTGGATTCTGATCTCAACTGCAAGGTCTGTAGGGTAGAGTGAGTACTGGGTGCGGGGACAGGCAGGATGGCGTAGTGGGAACAGAATGAATTTTGAGATCTGACAGCGGTCTAAATTTTACCTGCTGTGGACTTTCAGTAAGTTAATAGTTTCTCTGAGCCTTTTTTCCTCAAAATAAAGGGGCATAGTTATCTAAACTTATCCTCTCATGCAGGGTTTCCGGTAAGGGTTGATAAGGTAATGTGAAATGGGCCCTCAAGACTGGGCACTCAAGGGACTTCCCTGGTGGTCCAGCGGTTAAGACCGCGCTTCCAATGCAGGGGATGTGGGTCTAGGGAACTAAGATCCCACATGCTGTGCGGCCCCCCCCCCCAAAAAAAAGTATGCAGGGGAGTGTCATGATCAACGTATACTATATGTCTGAATGAATCTGAAAAAATGTTAATAAGCATGAAATTAAAGAATTTAAAAAGAAGATTGGGCACTCAAAGGCTGGTGTTAATTCTTGTCTTTTCTTTCCTTCTTTTTCTCTTTTTCTGGGGGGAGAACTTGTATTTCTAGAAGTCAAAGTTAAACTTTCAAAAACCGTCACAACTCCAAACTGCTGGCATTCTAAGTCTTTCCTACCTGACTTTTGAAAATTCGAAGTCAGTAGTTCTTAACTTTTTTCTTTGGAAATCGGACAAAACACCTGAAGCACTGGACAGAAATGCCACGTATGCATTTCTGTAGATGATTTCAGGGGCTCTTGGGACCTCTGATGCCATCTGTCCTGCGGACCTGAGGTTAAGGACCGCTGCTCAGAGGACCACTGTACTGCTCCTTCTGTGTGCTCTGCCCGGAGTCCCCATTTCTAGTCCAGGGCTCTGTACATAACAGATGATCAGTAACTGTTGGCAGACAAACCTTGGGAGAAAACACAGACCTGGAATTCAATTCTAGCTCTTTAGAACCACAGGAGAAAATTCTTTCAGCAGATAACTTCAGTTGGTATTAGGCCCAGGTAAGAAAGGACAATGGCCTACTTTTTGAAGAAACATCAGTGGACATCTTGCTGCCGGAAAGCAATTAGCTTAGGGGGACAACTGTTACATAGATGAGGGGCTGGGAAAGCGTGGCAGGGCCTGGTTACAGGAGAGGAGAAGGCGGCTTGGGGGTGTGTGCCTATCTCTAGGCTCCTGGGCTCCAAAGGACTAACGCATGTGCTTCCTCCCTGTTGTGTCAGATTGCCCAGCTGCCCTTGACCGGCAGCACGAGTATCATTTTCTTCCTGCCTCTGAAAGTGACCCAGAACCTGACCATTATAGAAGAGAGCCTCACCTCTGAGTTCATTCATGACATAGACCGAGAACTGAAGACTGTTCAAGCGGTCCTGACCATCCCCAAGCTGAAGCTGAGTTACGAAGGCGAACTCACAAAGTCCGTGCAGGAGATGAGTATGTTTCTGCAAGACCTCGTTGCTCCTGGGGTGGGTGGGGTAGAGTCTTTGAGCCTTCCACCTTGCTAAGCGGAACGCAAAGGCTCCATGGCATTGCACCGAGGCCAGGGATGACTCCTTAATTCTAATAGTGCTGGAGGGGAAGACTGAACTGCCTTCCTTATCAGACTCATTCCTCAGCCCCAAGAGCATACGTCTTATAACAGCAACTCAGAACACTGCCTCTCAAGATAGGTCTGCTGACCTGGTTTCTAATCTTAACCTCACTTGCTGTGTGCTCCTGGGCAAGTCACTTAACCCTTAACCAGCCCAGAGCTCTACACACCTCACAGGTCAAAAGTGGTTGTTCCACTCCCAGCTTGCTTGCCTTCTCGAGAATCAGAATTTAAGAATCAGGACTGTACTCTTCCTTGGGGTGTTGATGAGGCAAGGTTTTAACGGAAATCCCTCTCGATCTCTGCAGAGTTGCAGTCCTTGTTTGATTCACCAGACTTTAGCAAGATCACGGGCAAACCTATCAAACTTACTCAAGTGGAACATCGCACTGGCTTTGAGTGGAATGAAGATGGGGCGGGCACCACCCCCAGCCCAGGGCTCCAGCCTGCCCACCTCACCTTCTCTCTGGACTATCACCTTAACCAGCCTTTCATCTTTGTACTGAGGGACACAGACACAGGGGCCCTTCTCTTCATAGGCAAAATTCTGGACCCCAGGGGCACTTAATACTCCAATTTAGTGTTCAAATACCCCAGAAGAAAACGCTAGAGGGATGGCAGCTTATATATTCCATGAAGGCTGCCCCTATGTTTCAATGTATACTTTGCAATAAAAGTGCTTTATCCTTAACTTTTGTTACCCTGTTCCTCCTATTTTGAGCTATGTTAAATTTAATATGAAGATAAATAACCCTTTAGGAATTTGCTGGTCCTGTATTTATAGCCTGGGTCTAACTAAACTCTGCAGAAAAAGTCACCAGGTGAGATAAGAACTATAGTTGTAAAAAAAAAAAAAGAACTGTAGTTGTTTACATTGTATGATGTCGGGATGGATTCTCTGCTCTGTGGGGTTTACACTCTAGGTCACTAATCCCCCGGGAAGGAATTTCCTGTCTCCACAATCGGTGGACCATGCTCTTAAATACACCGGACTTCAGGTTTTAATGCAAGGCACGGATATCCCCCCGTCAAGCTAATGTCACCTGACAACACAGGATAACATGCAGACAGATAAGGGAGGAAGTCTGTAACTTCAGGAAAGAATTCTTTATTTTATAGAGCATTTAAAGAAAGCTCTCAGGTTCACATAAAATGAGGTCTGCTATGTAAAATTCTACACATATTCTTTTTAAGGAAGGGGGCCTATTTTACAAAGTACAACAGAACCTCCTTTTTCAGGAACATGAAACATGCCGAGTGTTTGGAAAAGAACTACAGAATTGGTCAAGACTAAATTTTTCTTCTTGAAAGAGTTAGCTCTACCAAAACATCTCATTGGCCACAGCCCTTGCCAAAGTGAGTTAGTAGAAAGGAAGATAAATGTGATTCTGCCTGCCCTTCATTCAAATATTTGAGTGTGAACCATGTTCTGAACACTGAGCTTCCTGAAAAGCTACTCCCAGGCAGCTTCAGGGCTATTCAGTTCCTGATTATAATGCCGGGGCAACCACTGGGCACTTCTTGGGCATGGCTGGGGTGGGCAAGCTCTCAAAGCAGTGTGTATTCTTTTCCACCAACTCATCTGAACCACATGGTCCCCAGTGGTGATAGAGCACCCAGGGGTCAGACCCAGAGTCTCCCAGCCTTCTGACTGGGATGGGGTTTAGACTATTGCTATACATCCAGGTAGACAACAGCTATCATTCCTACTTTTTGTCTCTTAAGTGTGAAACCGCTAGCAGCAATGCCCACACCCTCAACTTCTTCTGAAGTTGTTTTTTTTTTTTTCCCTTCTCAGTAATTATGCAGTCTGTATTTCATTTGCCTGCTTGGGGAGGTAGAAAAGAGCGGTCTCTTTTCAGGCTTGCTAATAAACAGAACTCAGAAACGATGTGTTATAAAGTCATTGCTACAAGCTTGATTTTATTAGTGTTTGGTCAGTGAGTCTGCCCAGAGTATAGAATGAAAACCAGAGAATAAGGACTCGAAAACTGGTAGAAAACAAATTTAGAGTTGCCATCCTAGGAAGAAATTCCCCAACAATAAAATGGCCCCATATTTATTTCTCTATTCACAATTGATACTCCACTGGTTTTAACAAAGGATTCAAGGAAGCTAGGTACCATAAATGAAACTATACCTCCAGAGGTAAGGAGCCTCACTAATTTCTTGCTTATAATTATTTTTCAATTACAATACGACTATTAAGAGTTTAAGTTCCCACTGGAGTGGTACACAACGTCTCATTACTACTAGAAACCAAAGGAATGTTCCAGGGAAACAGACTATCATCATTTAGTGAGGTGGCGTCTAGCCAAAACCCCAGGCTAACATCCAGATGCCTGCAGATCAGCTAAAATCCTTTTAAAGGGCTTAGGTTCTCCAGATACCAGTTTTAAGTTTTTTTCTGGGAACCAGGAGTTTTTGTTGCAGAGCAGTTAACTACTTCAAGAAACATTCATCAAAATAGGTGAGCAATAGGGAGGGTGGGAGGGAGGGAGACGCAAGAGGGAAGAGATATGGGAACATATGTATATGTATAGCTGATTCATTTTGTTATAAAGCAGAAACTAACACACCACTGTAAAGCAATTATACTCCAATAAAGATGTAGAAAAAAAAAAACAACATAGGTGAGCACGTCTCTAACTGCAAAGCTTTCTAAGCCCTCCCCTCCCCTCATACACTAGGCTTGTGACTGTCGGGCAAGTCCTGTATTGTTTGGCGACAGCTCAGCAGCAACAGACCCTCTTTAACTCCTCCCACACGGGCTCCTTTCCTGTTGGTCAAGGTCCCCTTGGGACCCTATTCGTCGGGTCCCACAGGGATGGGCGGCAAGTCCAACAAACAGGATTTCATCTTTTGTAGCTCCTGGATCTCGTCATTCCAAGGGCCATAGTGCACCAGCAGAACCTTTTCTGCCTGTTGTATTGTGTTCAGAGCTTCGGGTATTGCAAACCTGAACCAAAGGAGGTAAGAGGAGTGAATCCACCCATTCAATCAGGCAAACATTAACTGAGGGCCTACTCATACCTTTTTGTCTTCAAGGATCTTACAATCTAGAAGGGCAGATAAGACTCTCAGAAACACACTGAAAGGCAGAGTTTGAGATGAGAGTTATGAAAAAAAGGTATAAAGATCCCAGGATTCTGAGAAACAGGCAGATCTCAAAGCACTAATGTGATATTTACGCCAAGGTTCACTCAGCAGTCTCTGCCTTAGAGTCACGGAGTCCGCCTATGGCCTGACTCTGCAGCCCTTTCCCTCTCTCTGATGGGGTGGACTGCCTCTATGTCTTGGGTATCAGGTCCACCCACCTCATAATCCTAGGACCGAGCTTCAAACACTTTCCCACACAGCAGCTTTACCAAGGTTGGACATATTCCGTCTAGAAATACTGACATCAGGGCCTCCTAGTGATCCCAGTTACAAAAGCGGATGAGGCGTCAACTCATCAACCCTACTCTTCTTTCCTTTTAACCTTTAAAGCTGGGTTTCTCAACCTTGACACTGTTGACATTTGGGGCCGGATAATTCTTAGCTGTGTGTGTGCGGGGGCTGTCTTGTGCACTGTCGGATGTTTAACAGCATCTCTGGCCTCCACCCTGAGTCATGACAATCAAAAAATGTCTCCAGACATTGCCAGGTGTCCCCTGGGGAGCCAGATGACTCGTGCTTGATTACAGCTGCTTTAAAAGGAATAGGACCAGGAATAGGACCAGGAATAGGACCAGGGGAAGGAAGAGGCCCTGGAGCTGAGGGTGCTAAGAATGAGTGCTGAGGGTGTGTGTGTGAATAACTGTGGGGGGTGGGGGTGGGGCGGGGTGGGGGAGGGGACTGAGAAGAACCTCTATGAGGTGGCGGTGGCAGGTTGGGGGGCGGGGGCCTGGGCAAGTTCTCCCTGGGAAACTCCCTTCAGAGCTAAGAGCTTCCCCATATCTCCCAGGAGGAAATTCTAAAGTTTCAAGTTTGTCAGCAGAACAGAAGGAAGAATCTCTCCTAAACGGGAAATAAAGACGTGTCAACATGCTTAAAAGCACTGTAGAAAAAAAAAGGGATACACAGAAGAGCCTAATAGAAGAACGGTATGTGGCCTGGTGAAGTGCTAGGAAACAAGAGAAAGGCTTACCCATTGAAGAAGATTTGGGCCAGTTTGAAGAGTTCATGGCCCATCTCAACACTGGTTGGCCCGTGGCGAACCTCAACCACTCGGAGACTCTTCTGTAGATGGGCGGCTGACTTCTCCCAGTCCCCTGTAAAGAAAGGAAAATCTGGTTCCAGAAAAGAACCACAGTCAACTGTGGATGAACATTTTCAGGGTAAGGAAAGCTAAATGGAAGTGAGAGCGGCCTCAGTTGAAAGACTAAGAGAGAACCAACCAGACGAGGCTAAGATCATGACCAAACGCACAAGGCAGGGTCATTCCTTGGAGCGGAAGGTGAAGACGCACATCTTACCTAAGGCAGCATAGGCCTGGGCCAGGTCATCCTCGATTTCTCCCACCATGCTGTGTTCCGCCAACAGGAAGCTCTCAGCAGCATGCCGGCATCCCAACAACAGCTGAATGGCTCGCTCTATCAATTCAAAGGAAAGTGGGCTCATTACAGACACAAACCCCCTCCGTCTTAGAAATGAGAACCCAGCCCTTAAATTCTCTATGGGCTGGGCTGAATGTGGAAACCCCACTTTGTCTCCTTGGGTTGTGATCAACCCACAATTTTTGTTCCAATAAAGCTGTTCTCTTATGTTTTCTCTTTCAGTAGCAAAAGGTGCTGGGTGAGGCCTCCCCACATTTACTGTGGGTTTCCAACTTCAGTTTGAAGTGGAATGACTACATTCCATTTATGGTCCTTATTTCTCTTGACTAAAAATCTAAGCTAAAGGTCAACTTTCATAAAAATAGGGTAAATAAATTCCCACGATGTCAAACTCTAAGGCAGAGTTTTCCAAGGTAATGAGGGGTTCCATCACTCCCTTTCTGGAAAAAGCAGGATACTCACACCCATTGGGCACATGCCCCAATGCCCTTTATTTTTCTTATTTTTATTTTTTAAAACATTTATTTATTTATTTTATTTATTTTTGGCTGCCTCAGGTCTTAGTTGCCACACGTGGGATCTTTTGTTGTGGTGCGTGGGCTCCAGAGCATGGGCTCAGTAATTGTGGCGCTCGGGCTCTCTAGTTGTGGCGCACGGGCTCCAGAGTGCTTGGGCTCTGTAGCTGTGGCATGTGGGCTCTCTAGTTGTGGTGCGTGGGCTCAGTAGTTGTGGTGCACAGGCTTAGTTGCCCCGCAGCATGTGGGATCCTAGTTCCCTGACCAGGGATCAAACCTGTCTCCCCTGCGTTGGAAGGCGGATTCTTAACCACTGGACCACCAGGGAAGTCCCCCCACTGCTCTTTGGAAGAGAGATGATGCTCTGATGAGGGCAGAACAATTTCTTTAGGAAATTAGGTCATGAGGCCCTCGAATTAAAATAAATGACAGTGAACTTTTGGATATGCACAAAGATCACGGATGTCAGAGAACTCGTTAGTCTTTAACTAACTCTCTGATGCCTAAGAGAACAACAGCTTAAATCAGTTGGCCCTTTTCCAAGGACGCCATGCAAACTGAGCTGGTAAGGGTTTGGTCTCATTGGCCTACAAAGCCATCTTGTGGCTGGCATGGGGATAATTAAATTCAATTCTTCAGTCTTCACCGAGTATCCCTGAATTCAAGGTGATCTCAAAATGAATAAAAGGGAAGGGGCTGGAGGACCAAAGCAGGGAGCCATTCTCACCTAGTTCGCCATTTCTGAGAAGCTTCCGGGCCATCCCCACCTGCCGCTGAAGGTCCTGTAGCTGAGAGACTAGGTGATCTCTGCTGACTGATTCCGTACAAGATGTGCTGCCACAGCTCAGAACATCATCTCCCTGTGGAAGTCAGTTTTGTCTTTATTCCTGTACCAGAGTCCGCTAGCGACACTGCATGTGCTTACATTACAGGACTGCTCCAGAGCTTCTGACCCTATGGGGGAAAGACTCCTGCAGTAACACACCATGACCAAGGGCAGACTGAATCTGGTTTGATGGCGGCAACTGCAATGAGAGCAGGAGCCGATCCCTGCTTGAGATTTACTTTTTGCAACCAAATTAAACTGGTACAGACCACAATGTCTTTCCATCTTGATAGCCCCTCTCTTATTTCTCTTTGGGGCTGGGACTTTGGATGACAGACACATTTCTAGTGGTTATGAAAAAGCCATAAGGAAACCAACAGAAAAAAGGTGCTGGGTGAGGTCTCCCCACATTCGTCCTCGGGCTTGTGACTTCAGCTTTCCAACACAACCAGCTCCACGTTCTACTTACAGTTCTAAGACATTTGCTGTTTTTCAGATGCCAGAATCTGTGGCCCCATTTGGCAGTAGCAACCTGACTTCTCCGGAGGATCCTTTCCCACCCTCCTGAAGTCAGGGCCTGGGGGCTGAGTGGGGAGCGTGTGGCTCTGATCTGGCCCACATGGCTGGGGGGAAACTGTGACTCTGATTTTCCTCCAGACACAGGTATCAGGTTGATAAAACACAGTACGATTTTTGCCCAGATCTCTGTTAGAGTACATATGTTTTTATCCTTCTGGACCGGGGGAATCTGATGCTGGAGCTGCTAGCAGCCATCTGGTCACCACAGGAGGGAAGTCTGTCTGAGATTGGGCTAAATAATACAGAAAATGGAGCTGAGGGAGGTGGAAAGAAAAATTAGGTCTTGGTGACATTATCTGAGCCCCTGGATCACGTTGTATTTGAAGTGCCCCTACTCTGGGACTTCTGAGTGATTTACTTGAGCAAATAAATTCCCGGTCTCCCTGAACCCCAAATCAGTTTAGGTGGGATTTTCTGTTCTTTGCAAGAAAGAGATCACTAAATCCAACCTTTCCCTGTGGTTCCTGCAGGGGTGTAATCTATGTGTGGGGAAGATGGGCAAAAGGGAAGAGAGAGAACTGCTATCAGCACCTCTAAGTCCCAATGGCTTCCTCCTAAAGATTTAAGGCCTTTAGGCTGGATAACTGACCGCCAGGAAAAGCAAAGAGAAGGGAGGGGAGAAAGAGATTCACCTGCAGGAGTGCTCTGCAACGGTGACAACAGAAGGCTTCCCTCCCGGGCCCCTGCGAGGGTCTCTGCTTCTCACGTTCACAAGGGGGACAGTTGCAGTCAAAGAAATACTGAGACCTCAGCTTCTGGCGCCTCTCGGCAACACCCATCCTGCTCTCGTGGGGCCCTGCAGAGACACCACGCTTGGCCAATATTTAAAGCAAGAGAGCATCAAGCACTACTTAAAAAACTTCAGCTTAGCGGAGGGTCTGGTCAGTCACTCATCATGCGACAGGGACCTTTCACTCAAACATTTGTGGAACTAGATACAGAAACAGGCTTCCAAGTTGCGGGGACAGGAAGAAAAAGAAACCAAGAAGTTGTTCCTGGCCTATTTTCAGAATAGGACATTTACAGGGATCAAGCAGGGAGTGTCTACCCGATAGTGCAGATACAACAGGGCTTAGTGAGGCTTTTCTTCCCCATAAGTATGCACTGCCTCTGCCAGGATGCAGACTCTGCACAGGTGAGGCACCTGCCCTGTGGCTGGCTCAGGCGAATTCACCCTGTCCTTTTCTGCTGGAGAAAGGTGGACAGGAGGGAGGATGGATGGCTCACCATAGCAGTGGAGAATCTCTTGTCCTTTTTTAATCTGCTGAGATGCCCGAACGGTGGCGACGGTGCTAATGAAAGACACGCTGGTATTGGGGCTGCAGGAATGGTTCAGGAGGCTGACGACGGGGAACAGCCCCGTGGCAAGGCGCACCTGCCTGCTGTTCGTAATGAGGTTCTTTTCAGATCCTGAGAGTGCAAGAGGAAAAAGGGAAAAATGTGTCAGGACACTCATCCTGGCCTCACCCTCCATTCCTCAGAAGACGAGCTGGGCAATCGGGCCTGAAGCGTGGCTGAGTCAGAGCTCCACAAGCTGGATCCGAGATAAATCAGACGGAGCATGACTCAGAGCAAACTCTGGTTCCCGGGAAGCAAAGAGAATGAGCACTTGAAACGTCCACCAGAATCTTGGAACCTAACCACTGTGTCTCAATACCACAAAAAATCCAAAGATTAGAATTTATAGAGAGTAATAAAAAAAGAATTATCAGTAGGGAGCCTTCCAGATAGACAGTTTCATAATGTTCATGACAACATGGAAACCAGAGTACCAGATGAGGTTATTTCCTAAAGACTTTTATAGTCCAAGTGCTTTTGTTTAACTGGTCTTTGGTTGGTTAATAGAACAAGTAACCTAATTATTATCCTAAACTAAATAGGCCTGTCATATATTTAAAAAAATCAGTATTTCTTATGCTCACCTCTTCATTCTGCCCTTTGCCCCAACTTGATGGGAAATCAGTCAAGCAGTAGTTCTCACTGAAAAAACTCTTTGGACCACTTCTACTCCAGACAGTCTCACGTCCCTAACCATCTCTTCTTTGAAGCACAATTAAACCAGCAATTTAACCACATGATTGAAAATTAGGAAGGAAGGAAGAAAAAAGCCTCTAAGCAGTGAGGCTACTTCTGCACCAAGGCTCATGCACTTACATTCACGTGTGAATTCTCTGTATTCTGCCGCAGGCCCACTTCCTCTTATTTTAGCCACAGTTCGAACTGGCGTGGTTATTCAGTTTCTCAGCCCACCACAGTACAGAAACAGAGAACTACTAAGAGGCAGGTTTTCTGCCAATGGCAAAGGAGACGGGGACAGACTGGAGGAGGAGGCAGAAAACTTGTACAAGAATAACAGCCTCAGGCAAACAAAAACACTAGCACCACTCCGAGCTTAACCAGAGGTTCTCAGACTGACCCCATACTTGCACGGGTTTTTGTCATAGCTATCTATGTCTCAGGAGGATGCATGTACAGATAACCTTGGGCATACAGAAAGGCTTAAATTGTGTTCAGCAGCCTTGGTGTAAGCATGAGGAGATAGTGTTTCCGACAAAGCTGGTTGAAATATGAACGATACTGGTACTTAGAGAGGAACTTTCAGTTTTCTGGAAAACTGATAAGCCATCAGATAATTGTGGTATCACCGTATATGCCAGGAATCTCAATGCACCAATCACCAAATAATGCGGTCTAGGTACATATGAAATGAATAAAGAAAATACAAACCATCATGTGAAAATGTTCTAGAAAGGAAAACATTAACTATAAGGAATAATATTGTCTCTCTGCAGACGATTCTATTACCTGCTGCTGTGGAAGACAAGAATTAGAACAAGTAAATAAAATTCTCAGGGAACCTAAATGACTCAATTTTAGTCAACAATTCTACAAATTGTATTGAAATCTTTCATTAGAGCTTCTCCTAAAAGCTTAACTGATTTTAGTGTCCCCTCCCCCTCCCCCTTGTCCAATGCCTACCTTCTGGTACATGTACCAATGAGCAGCAGAAATGCTAAAAGGTAAGGAGGCAGCAGGAAGGAGCAGTGCAGGGCACAAACAGTTTGTCGTCTGAATAGTCAGCCTCTGCATAATTAGAAGTCGACTTGCATTCCCAACTACTGATACCTGGCGATCTGTATTAGAAGAGCTGCTAAAATTTTCCCAGAGAAAATTACCACAGTACACATGAGTAATGTCAGCTTCGTGAATTATTTATGGATTATCCTCTAACAGAAGTAGGCCCAAGAACAGAGTGGGGTGAGTATTTATGTCAGAGTTGAATTTCTCTCTAATTATCTCTACAGAATTAAGTATTGATTTTAAAAATTATTCAATATTTTGCATTAGTCACCTGTTAGCAGAGATCGTAGAAAGTGAGAATGTGTATGTACCTTTACCAAATTTAATATGTGATATTTTGTGCACAAAACAAACAAAAAACAAAAAAAGAGGGCCTGAATATTTTACGAAAAGTGTACCTCGCTAATATTCTTAGTACATTTAGTAAAGAAAAAACGGTTCATTCACAATACTTTCAGAATATACCTATTCTGGTAGATACTTTATAAAACAAGAAATTTTTGTGTAAAAAAAGTAATCAAGGACCCACAGTGAAGGTGGATTCCTCGGTTGCTGAAAGCAAACGGCAGTGAACTGATCTGAACTTCCATAGAACCTCATTAAACCTCGTGAATCTAGATACATCACGAATACGCCATTCCCACCGAGAGAGATAACACACACACCAAGGTCTGGAATGCCATCAGTGGCCAGTTCCATCCCTTAAAATAAGTACCAAAGAGAGATTTCTGAGGAACTTTGATTAAATAGGATTTATACAAAGATAATAACATACATTTTTATAGATTTTTGTCAAAGTCTATCCAAGTTAACACTTTAATCCTTCTTCTGTGCTACTAATGAAACAGCTGCTAATGAAATTCAATGAGAACACTAAACTGGGAGGTGTTGGAACCCCAAAGAAATAATAAAAAGGGATGAAACAAGATTAGAAATATTAGCAGACTGAGACAAAATTAGACTGAATTAAAAAATAAAAGTGAACATTGCTGGTGGGTGTGTAACTGGTACAACTTTCCTGGAGGGCAATATGTACCAAGTGCCTTAAAAATGTTCATGTAAAAAAATGCTCATCATTTGAACTATTTTGTTTAAAGGAACTAATTAAATTAAAAAAGAAATACATGGCAGTGAGAAAAAAATTTAAAAACTGAAAATTATAGAGGAAATAACAGTCATTATAATCCTCTCAGTCACCTATAAGATTTTGGTGCATTTTCTTACAGTCTTCTTTCTAGCCTTATACATGGACCTTTAACATAATTGGCAACATGGTGCACATGATGATTTGTAAGTTATTTCTTTTTCTTTTTTTTTTTTTTTTTTTGTATGCCGGCCTCTCACTGTTGTTGCCTCTCCCGTTGCGGAGGCTCAGCGGCCACGGCTCACGGGCCTAGCCACTCTGCGGCATGTGGAATCTTCCCGGACCGGGGCTCGAACCTGTGTCCCCTGCATTGGCAGGCGGACTCCCAACCACTGCGCCACCAGGGAAGCCCATCTTTGAAAAAATTATTATTTTTTATTTTACTTTTAAAATACATTTATTTATTTATTTTTGGCTGTGTTGGGTCTTCGTTGCTGTGCGTGGGCTTTCTCTAGTTGCGGTGAGCGGGGCCTACTCTTCATTGCCGTGTGTGGGCTTCTCATTGTGGTGGCTTCTCTTGTTGTGGAGCACAGGCTCTAGGCGCGTAGGCTTCAGTAGTTGTGGCATGCGGGCTCAGTAGCTGTGGCTCACGGGCTCTAGAGCGCAGGCTCAGCATTTGTGGCGCACGGGCTTAGTTGCTCCGCGGCATGTGGGATCTTCCTGGACCAGGGCTCGAACCCGTGTCCCCTGCATTGCCAGGCGGATTCTTAACCATTGTGCCACCAGGGAAGCCCTGTAAGTAATTTCTTTTTCACTTACTATATCATGGCCCTTTCTTTATACCCTAACCTGAAATGTATATTAAAATTAAAAAAAGGACTTCTCTGGTGGCGCAGTGGTTAAGAATCTGCCTGCCAATGCAGAGGACATGGGTTCGATCCCTGCTCCGGGAAGATCCCAAATGCCCCAGAGCAACTAAGCCAGCGAGCCACAACTACTGAGCACACGTGCCACAACTACTGAAGCCCGCACACCTAGAGCCTGTGTTCTGTGAGGAGAAGCCACTGCAATGAGAAGCCTGCGCACCGCAACGAAGAGTAGCCCCCGCTCGCCACAACTAGAGAAAGCCCGTGTGCAGCAAGGAAGACCCAACACAGCCAAAAATTTAAAAAAATTAAAAAATAAAAATGACCTGCATAGTTGCTAGAAATGTTCTCTCGTTTTGTCACTCACATTTTAATTTTTGTTTATGGGTGTTTGGAGGTGGGGAGTGTTAAAATAACAACTATTTCATTTGCTTACAATGCTGTGTGCCAGCAACTTTGCTTGGGCTCAGTTGAACATTTTTTCTGCTAGTCTTGCCTGGGATTACCCATATGATTGCAGTCATCTGGCACGTGGTCTTTTGTCCTCAGGGAGGCTAGCCCAGGCTTGTTCACAGTCCACACCATCATTTTAAGAAGGTAACAATGGCAGCTGCAAGGTCTCTTTTAAGGCTTAGACTCATTAAGTCACATAACATCACTTGTATGGCATTCCATTGGTCAAAGCAAGATTCAGCAGGGGAAATAGACTCTACCCCTTGATGGGAGAAAAATCAACGTCAAGTTGCAAAGGGGCAAACATACAGGGATGGGAGGAACTGTTGTAGTCATTTTTGCAAAGAGTCTTCCCTAGAGGCCTAGAGGTTCATCTAGTCCTCTTATTATCCATATGAGGATACTGACCCACACAAAGGTTCAGTACCCTGAGCTAAGAGTAAGTGGTTAGACTGAGTGGAACAGGAACTCAGGTCTGCTGCCTCCTAGTCCAGTGTTTTCATTCCTTCAAGGACCTCTTTCACCCACATTCTCTGTCTTCTTTTCTGATTACAGTGTTTTTGAAATTTGGTATTTAAGTTAAATCTAGCTATCTTCTAATTACCTAAATTTGGTAGTATATACTTTAGAAAGCTTCTCTTACCACCTTAAAACTACGTAAAAGTTCATTTATCTTTTTCTAGGTCTTTTATGGTTTATTAATTATTATTATTATTATTTGGCTGAGCCGCGTGGCTTGTGGGATCTTAGTTCCCCAACCAGAGATTGAACCTGGGCCCTTGGCAGTGAAAGCTTGGAGAACCACCACTGGACTGCCAGGGAATTCCCTGAATTTTTAACTTTTTAATGGCTTTTTAATGGAAGAAAGAATCTAATACTTTTGGGGGGCTACCACATTAGTGCCATATTGTTTTCAATTACTGTAGCTCAATGCTGATGTGAAATCTGATAGTACCAAGCCCCTTCAGTACTCTTTAAAACAAAAAGGCTTTTTTTTTTTTAATGTTTATTTATTTACTTACTTACTGATTTTAGCTGTACCAGGTCTTAGTTGCGGCAATGTGGGATCTTTAGTTGTGGCATGTAGGCTCTTAGTTGTGGCAGGCGGGCTTCTTAGCTGCGGTATGCAAACTCTTAGCTGTGGCATGCATGCGGGATCTAGTTCCCCGACCAGGGATCGAACCTGGGGCCCCTGCACTGGGAGTGCAGAGTCTTGCCCACTGGACCACCAGGGAAGTCCCACAAAAAGGCTATTCTTACCCATTTATTTAAGATGAACTTTAGAATCATTGTCAAATTTTAAGAAAAATCCAACTGTGATTTTGTTGGAAACTGCATTAGACTGATTAGGTTAATGTGGGGAAACTGCCATTTTTACAGTGTTCCGTGTTTCCTTCTAAGCATCTGGCATGTCTCTGCATTTATCCAAGCCTTCTTTTATAACCCTCCAAATTAAAATATCCTTGCATTTCTGGAAGAAATCCTACTTGGTCATGTCTGATTGTTCCTTTAATAAACTGCTGGATGTGACATAGCAGTGATTTTTTTTCAGGGTTTCTACATCCATATTCACATGTGAGACTGGTCTATAGTTTTTACTCTGGGCTTTGTAAAATGAGTGGGAAAGGGTTCTCGGTTCCTCCATGCCCTAGAACAGTTTATACTGTATAAAAACGATCTGTTCCTTGATATTTTTTCTTGTTATCTTTAAAAAATGTAGCTAAATATGTTCCTTAAAAGTTTTAAAGAACTCACATGAAAAAGAGTGGGTCTGGCTTGTTTTTTTTTTTTTTTTTGGTAGGGGAGTTTTTCACTGTTTTGGCCTCTCCCGTTGCGGAGCACAGGCTCCGGATGCGCAGGCTCAGCGGCCATGGCTCACGGGCCCAGCCGCTCTGCGGCACGTGGGATCTTCCCGGACCGGGGCATGAACCCGTGGTCCCCTGCATCGGCAGGTGGACTCTCAACCACTGCGCCACCAGGGAAGCCCCTGGCTTGTTTTTATGGAACTATTTTGATAACTTTTTCAATTTCTTCTACAATTACTAGATTTTTAAAGTATTTTCCTCCCTCTGGAAAAATTTAGGCAATTTATATTTTTCCATAAAGTTGTTTATTTACTATTTTCAAATTCAATAATCTAAAATTGTATTAAATATTTGCTATAAATTTGAGAATGAATTTATATTATTGGCTATATCCCCTTCATCGTTTCCAATTTTGTGGCGTTTTCCCCTAGATTTCTTAATTAGATTTGCCAAGTCTTTGTCTCTATCAGGAGTCTGTAAACTGTAGCCTATGTGCCAAATCCTGCCTGGTGCCTCTTTTTGTACATATGTGGTCTAAGAATGGTTTTGACTTTTTTTTTTTTGGCCACACCATGAGGCTTGTGGAATCTTCGTTCCCCAGTCAGGGACTGAACCTGGGCCCTCGGCAGTGAGAGCGTGGGGTCCTAACCACTGGACCACCAGGGAATTCCTGTTTTTACGTGTTTTAAATGGTTGACAAAAGGTGAAAGGAATAATTCTCGTGACATGAAAAATTTTAGGAAATTCAACTTTCAGTGTCAATAAGAAACTTTTATTGGAGTCTAGCCAGGCTCATTCATATGTATACTTTCTACAGTTGCTTTCATGCTACAAGGGCAGTTGAGTAGTTGCAAAAGAGACCATAAGGCCTGCAAAGCCCCAAATATTTACTATGTGGCGCTTTACAGAAAAAGTTGGCCAAACCCTGGTCTATAGGACACAAGCTTTGGTGGATATATCTCTGAATCCCCTATTTTATTATGTTATCTTGGTTTCCAGGTCCTTATTGTTAATATATTTGATCAAAGTCAGAGTGGTATATTAAAGTTTCTTATAACTATGGAGTTTTTGCCAGTTTCTCCTTGTATACTCAGTCATTTTTGTTTTATAGGCACAATCTCTATGTTCCCGAGAGCTAAGGTTGATGATATATTGCAGAAGAGTCTCCTTTACAAAAATAAAACGCCTTCTTTGTTTTACTATATATTGTACCTTGAGCTCTACTGTTTCATATTAATATTAATACCCTGATTTACTTGTGATTCCTGACATGTCTTGCCCACTTTGTGTTAAGTGTCACTTTTGTAAACAGAATATACTTGGATTTTAATCTTTTTGACCCATTCTGAAAGATTAAGAGTTTAGCCCATTTTTATTTACTATTATAGACTCATTTTTATCATCTCCCTATCTTTTGCTCTGTGAACTATTTTTTTTAATGTTTTTTTTTCCCTAGAATGAAGGGAAAGGTTTACAACCAATTTAAAATTTACTAGAATAAAGTTACCACCATGTGAATAACTGTTTTTAATTTTAAAAATACAGAACAGTTCAAAGAAAAATGTAGCAATCACCCATATTTCCACTATCAGAATTCATCACTGTTAATTAAGATTTTGGTATTTTTACTTCTAGTGTTATTTTTTTCTATGTGTATATATATATATATTTAAAACATCATATAAATAAGAATAAATCATGCATAAAATATTAGAACCTCATAGATGAAGACAGAGTCTCCAATCCTCTTTCCGTCACTCCAGGTCTCCAATATTATGCTACGTATCTATTTTTCTAGTCCTTTTTAGCCACAGAAAATACACGTATTTCTGGCTATACACAGTCTTCCTACCAAACTTAACTCTTAACAACTTGTGAAAAATTTTACTCAACACCTGCTAGGCAAATAAAAAATGGACTGTAATGAAATCTCATGCACAGGGAGCAACAAATTTTAGGCTAAGATTCTCTGACTGTAAGAGGGAGGCCAATGAAGGAAGGTGGATGGAAAACACTTTCGTTTGTCCCTATCGCTCTGCCATCCTGCCTCAGGGATTCAGCCTGAGTGAGTGGTCACTGCTACTGTTTACCCAGAAAATAGTTTCCATAGTTTTTAGAGCTACTGACATTTACATCTTCTTTGTATGTTCTACTAAGTATTTTAGAGGCAAGACAACAGAATCGAGAGTTGGCAGCTTTCTGCCGTATTATCTGGAAGCTCCATATACTATCTCTTATATTCAGAGAAACAAAAAATGAAAACAGTAGTTTTTAAAATGCCAGTGAATGTACCCTAGGGGAAACGTAATTCTGGGAAAACACTCAACGGATACATATTTTAGAAGGTAGCAATGGCTCAAAGCAGCAAAAGCAGAGAAGAAAACGGAGACTAGCTTGCAGTGTGATTCTGTTGTATTACGGGATGAGGCCAGTGCTATTTCTGGATGTTCCATGCACTTCAGGATGCGGAATTGAGTTCTGCCCCAAAATACCTCTAGTGAAATACTATACACTATATAACTTGGCAGCTGGATTAAAATTAAAGATAAAAATATATAAACAAAAGGTTGACAGAATTCTAGATAGATTACCTAATATGACACGATCAGAAGAGTTACGCATGTATATAGTTCGGTGAAGCCACATTTAGTGTTAATCTGCCTATAAATCCTAGGTGTAGATATGACCTAATTCCTCCCCTCCACAGGGTTAATTAGGAAATGGAGAAAAGTATAATGAGCTGATTGAATCGAAACACATTATCTGCTAAAATGGAGATCACACAATAGAAATACTGGAAACACCATTTCTTTTCTAATAATAGTACCCATTGTCAGTACAGTCGTATTAGAGATGACACTCATGATGCTGGGCACGTGCAACCTCCCCATCTACCTTAACAGCCTCTTCTATAGGGTCTGGTTCAGGAAAGCAGGGCTAGGCTGGTCTGTGTCTAGAGGTGGCCCCCAGATTTTTGGCCCCCTGACCAGGAGCCAGCCCAAACACAGGCTGGCCAACAGCTTACAGCAGCATTGTATGAAAAGCTGTGATGGGCCAGATTCCTCTCTCGGAAATTTGAAACAGAAGAATGGGAGGAAACCTGGCAATTGAAAACAGAAGAGAGTAGCTGAGTCAAAGGAGTGAGTTAAGATTCTGATACCTTAACTACAGACCCTGCTCCTTCTGCAGTCTTGTTTATCCATTGTTTCAGCTTTCCTCCACAATCAGAAATTAAGTGTACTAGGCTTCTTTTTTAAACAGTGTAGTTTTTCTTTTTTAAGATTGTTTTTTTGATGTGGACCTTTTTTTTTTAAGTCTTTATTGAATTTGTTACAATATTGCTTCTGTTTTATGTTTTGGTTCCTTGGTCATGAGGCCCGTGGGGTCTTAGCTCCCCGACCAGGGATTGAACTTGCACCCCCTGCATTGGAAGGCGAAGTCTCAACCGCTGGACTGCCAGGGAAGTACCCCCCCCTTTTTTTTTTTTTTGGTAATAGGGTTTTAAAGTATTTTTACAAACAAACACATCAGCTTCACAACTCTGTAAAGTTCGGTGCGATTAAACTACCCGTTTTACAGATGAGAAAGCTGAGGCAGAGTAGGATCAAAACAATGTGAGGTCACATAGCTACGCAATGGCATAATCGTAAGACAGTTGTTTTCTCCCTTGGGCCACTGATTTGTTTGAATGCTACTGTTCTCCTTTACAGTCCTTTCTCCGCAAACATTAGCTACATCGAGAAGAATATTGTAAGGCAGAAAAAAGAGTTTCCCTCTTACCTGTTTGCTGTATGGTTGTTATTGCCTGAGCATTACACTGTAGCTGTAACATGTGTCTCAGCATGGCCACTCCCCAAATATTCAACTCTGGATACAACACAGGAGCCGCCGCTGCTTTCAGCTTAGACGATTTCAGACCTGTTGTGAAGACCTGTAGACTGGCTGCTTCGAGCTGCCTGCACAGTGCAGAAACACTCAGAGCACAGAGGAATTTGTGTACAGGGCTATGGTTTCCGGTATGGGGTAAAAGGCTGAAGACAGCATTATAATTATTTTCATACTTCCCATTAATATCACACCCAGGAATCGGGGTCTCAACTGTTTTGCCCTTGTTTTTACTCTCCCCTCCCAGGTCATAGCTGAGTATTTGCGCCAGATTCTTGCTTTCAGGTAAACAGGTACCCCTGTTAGTAATCTCACCACAAAGCTTATCTATGACTTTGCCAGCTTCCTCAAATCTAGCTAAAAGAGTCGACCTCAGGGCAATGTGGCAAAAAACACCCAGTGTGAGAAGCAGCCCCCCTAAAGAACACTCTATACTATGGTAGAGATCCCAGGCCTGCTGCAAACACTCTTGGCTGCAATACTTGGCATAGCTGCATCCATCACAGGGAACTGGGGCCAAAGTGTGCTTCAAACATCGGTGACAGTAGAGGTCCCTATTGGTAGCTCTGGTATCCCACTTGCTCTCGAGGCCACGATGCCACGGTGGCACTTCTCCTGGGTTAAGTACACTCACAAAAGCATCCTCTTTCACCAGAAGCTCTCCTGGGAGAATATCTTCTGTGGCAACCAGACAGCGGCCCTTTAAAGGGTCTGTACATAAGCCGACAGACGATGATGTGCTGGAAATCTGTTCATTCTCTCCCCTTAGGTCCACATCCTCAAAGGCTTTGGTTAGAGCTGCTGGGGAGGTTTCTGTGAGATTCTCCTTTTCCTGTACCTTTACTTTCAGACGACAGAGGGTTCTCTGCAGAACCTGAAATTGGGAAGCTGCTAGGGTTGGTTTGGCAGCAAAGTTACTTTCAAGATCACTGATGGTCTGGCTTGCCTCGTGTGGTCTCCCCAGGGTCACCAGACACTCCGCCTTACGCAACAGCAACTTGGGTTGCAGTCTTTCCGGATATCCATGCGTCTGTGCTCTGACGATGTCTTTAAGGCATGTCTGCAAACAGAAAGAAAATCCCCAAATGACCCTTGGTCCCTACTCTTAAATGTCCGCTTGAAAGTCTTAATAGAAATCTACAAAAAAAAAAAAAATCTACAAGTTAAGGATTATTAAAAATGGAACAACTACAATCATGTACTTACTTCTTTAAATCATATTCTACTGCGATCTTTTTTTTTTTTTTTTTTTTT